ATCCTCTGAAGATGAAAAAAACCCTTTTTTTTAATCTGAATTTAGTCTGTAAACTTATGATTACATGACACAATATTTATCTTATTTCCAATTATGTCCTAGATGGGTATTTTCTTTTTATCTTTTAATTAAAAGATATATTAGAAATATTTTAATTTTACTGATGTATTATATCTCTTTTACTGATAATCTCCTTTTCTTATTCTTCAATATCATTTCGAAGGTGGGTGTTATTCCCATAATAGTAAAGATTTTATTCACAAGTACCACTGGCAATGGATTAATCAAAAATATGCTAATTGCAGGTATAATTGTGAACAAGAAATTCTGTTTGCTGTTTAGATGAAATAGGCTAATTAATGTTACACTATACATTGGCACATGGAGTATAGGGAACAAAGATACATAAGTCTTTGTTCAAACCTCAAGAATAAGTCTAGCATTCAGTCTGCTTTTCTAAAGAAGTGCAAGTCTTTGTTTCAGTGATTGATGACACTTTTTAGTATTTTAGTTTAATTCAGACACAATAGCAGGATCACCTACGAGACATCACCTAGACTTCTAGGAGATTAAATTCTTCTGAACTTGGAAATTAGAATTACTGGTCTCACTTAATGAAGATCTAATAAGAACCACTCTTATTAGATCTTGCAGAGTGTTTAGTTGTGAGAGAACTTGGAAAACTTGATGCCAACCTTGCTTTTAGAGATGTTTTTGTTTCATTGATGCTTCTTTTTTTAAACTGTCTTTTATAATTTTTTCCCCCAAAGGAAATATCATACAAAATGAATCTAAGATGGCTGTTGCAAATTGGTCAGAGGAAGATGTTTTGGCCTGGCTTCATGTGCAGGGCTTAACAGATCTTGTTGGGATTTTCAAAATGAATAATATAGATGGCAAGGAGCTCCTGAATCTTACGAAAGAAAGTCTGATGAATGAATTAAAAATCGGTAAGCATATAGAAGTGCAAACAATTTTTAACTTTTAGAGTACTTATCCTGGGTATCTAGGGATGAGAATGCATATATGGATATTTTTCCCCTATGTGATTTTTAGTTACCATGCGTGATCAAAAAAACGATGATGTTACATTATCCAAAATATACTTTTTTGGAGTTTCTCTTTTCTAGAGACATGAAATAGACATCTACCAATACTCCTTTGTTAGGTGGTCTCTTTTTTGTTGTTTTATTTTCTCATAGCTTAAGCTATGAGAAATTTATGTCAGATTTTGTATACTTGTAATGATTTTGCCTTTGGTAAATAGGGTACTATATAGTTTTCCCTGGCTGTTTGTAAAAGTGATAGCTTATAATATTATGTGCTCAACTACCTTGAATCTAGCGGGGTCTTGATTTGTTGATTAGTAGATACATCAAAGGAATTATTCCCTATCTGTCATGGCTCACACATGAGTTAACAAAATAGGAAAACACTGTCTGTCTAAACCTGTATGTTTTAAATGTTACTGAACTCAGTTTACATTTTAGGAACCCATCATGTCCCCATGCTTGAATGATCATGGTTTTTTTTAACTTGATAGCCTGTTTTTAGATCTAAAAATACATCATTTAGCTGTTTAATATGATCTTGCAAAATAACTCCAAGACTTTTTTTTATAGTCTTTGCAAAATGAGTTTTGTTTAGTGTTTTGATTGATAGGATAGGTGCTTTTTCCTGTATTATTTCCTGCTAGCTTCTAATTTTTGTCCCATTAGTCTTTACCTCTGTTTTGCATTTAATAAAAAGTTTCCTGGTGTCCCTAAAGGCAGTTAATCTAAGGGAAAGCAACCAGCAGATTGTTTACAGACCATTTCATTAGATGCTTTGTTTTTATGTTTTTTTTTTTGAAAGAATCATCTGTTACATTGCAAATGGAACTAGTTTCCATGTAAATGACACCATATTGAGCTTCCTCAGATTTTGGACAAGATAGTGACCATCCCAAGACCCTTCTTCACAGAATCCCATTCTGTGATTCTGTGAGAGTATGTCAGTAAATTATTTTATTGTAAAGTAAGTCACTTCCCTTTCAGCGTAGGAGGGTTACACGTGTTGTCTGAGCCTTGATGTGCACTAAGTTTAAAGTTTCTTTTATGAACTATGCATACAGCAGCAAAGTGTTCGTGTGCAGGCAGAGTGTGCAGACATCCTGTAACTGTTCTGGTGAGTGACTTAAAGATGGCCAGTTGTGGTTCATGGCTTGTCTGTTATTTGCAGACTCAAGAGCCTTTGAACTAGGCAATCTGAAAGAGTTCAAGGGCACATAGTGCATCCTTCTGTATTTATCTTTTTACATCAGGTTGACATTTTAGCTTAGCTAAAAATCCAAGGCTTTTTATTTTTACCATAGTAATGTCATTGTAAATTATAACACAGCAGTGCAATACAGCAGGGGTTATGTATTGTACTGGAGCACTGTGAATTACATTATATGACAAAAGCCGAGGTGAAGGCTAAGGGACATCTTGTAACTTAAATCTTTGCAGGAAGATCACTTGGTGAGGAGGCAAGAGAACAGTGTGCTGTGAGCGCAGGAAGGAGGCAGCCCCACACTGCAGTTATAGTCACTGTCTTACTCTGTATGTGTGTGTTTCGTTTTAATCTAAGTCTTCAGGAAGTGGACTTTTGGGGAGGTTAAGCAGCATCAGAAATGCCGCTGAAGGATTTCAGCCCTCTGTGACCATCCTGGGTAGCAGCACCCAGGCAAAGTGCAGGGAAAACCCTGTCCTCACTGGGTGATCTCATAGTGGTTTTTGCCTTGTTCTAGGGGGAAACACACTAGCTCTTCCACTCTATCCCCCTCCGCCCTACAGTTTTGCACATAGAGAAGTGCATTTATGTCTTCTCTGCATCTAATACACAGAGCACTGTTGTGGCAGGCTTACCGTCGCAGCGATGTTGCGCCTGCCTTTCTGCTGCTGTTTGTCACTACTGGGCAGTATTAGCATGAGCAGCCCTCAGTGTCTGCAGTGTGGCTGTAAGGCCGTTTTGGCTGTAAGGGCAGGGCCAGACCTTGGGCCCTGCAGTCCTGGGCAGCACAAGACGACCGTTCAGTGCTTTTCACTTACTGCACCAATAACTTTTCAGAGTCTCTAGGCCTGCGCAGTAAAGTTCTCCGCAAAATTGAGGAACTAAGGATGAAAATGGAATCTGCTCCTGTTGCCATCCCAGATGAATTCTTATGTCCGATAACAAGGGAGCTTATGAAAGAGCCTGTTATTGCCGCTGGTATGTCTTTAAGCAACTTTTATTAAAACAAATGGTTTAAGGGGAAAAAATAGATGTATGACACTAACAATGGGCATATCTTACATGTCCTAAAAAAGTTAAATCCTCTGCCATGCAAGACTCTTAACATACGCTTTGCTCGTGGCTTTTTTTTTTTTTAACATGTTTTTGTGCCACTGTACATAGAGAACTGCAGTCTTAATTACAGCCATGCTTTGGCCAGTGTACACAGGGAATGTGCACATAGATAAGAAACAAAGCAGGCCTCTCCCTAACTTGTAGCACGTGTAGGACACTTAAAAGTCAGCACTGCATGAGCTTGATTGAACCCAGAGCAAGACCAAACCGAGAGACCTGGAGCAGTCAGGCAGCTGTTCTGCAATTCAAACATTTTACTGAAAACCTGACGCCACTGAGCTGTGGGGCTGGGCAGGGGAGCCTGAGCCCCTGCAACAGGGAGGCCCCTGCAGCAGCTCCCCCCCCCGAGGCGGCTCCACAGGACCCGGACGCTGCCTGTGGCACCCCAGCATTTCCTGCTCCACGTTCTGCTTCTGTGGGGCAGCCCAGGTGTAGGTTCACCTGCTAATGATGCTTAGACCCCTGCCACTCCTTGGGGAAAGAACTGGCACAGGCATCTCAGTGCCCGCTTGGGGAGTGAAAATTACCGCCCCCCCCCCCCCCCCCCCCCCCCCCCCCCGCTACATCAGCAAAACCAGGCTGAGAAATACTGGGAACAGTTACCAGCCACCCCATCTATTTAGTGCAAGAAATTGGGCATTGCAGTGCAACATGCTTTATGAAAACAGTCACAGCCATAGCTGGCTCTTTGGTCTAATGCTTTAGCCAGAGTTGTTACCATGTGTAAGAATTTTCCATTGACCAACATGCACTGTGTCATCAATGAACGAGTTTCATTTGTGCAAATGAATTTACAGTGTTTTTTTAAACTGCTTGTGCTAGCTAGTCAGTGGACTACAGTAGTTTCAGAAGTTTAACCAAATTTGATTTTAATAGTAGTGTATAAGGTTTTGCAGGAGTATAGTTAAGCACGTAACAATTTTTTTTATTGAAATAAAAATACTTGGATGATGCATGATCTGGCACCAGTTTTTGTATACAGGGTCATGAGAATCATGAGGAAGAAAGAGGCTCCAGTTAGGGCAGAGGAGAAAACTAAGTGCTGCAGCATGCTGGTGTCTATAACTTTCGTTCTTGGTGGCGGTTGTTGTCGTAGATGGCTATTCTTATGAAAAGGAGGCACTGGAAAACTGGCTCAGCAGCAAGAGACGCTCCAGCCCCATGACGAACCTCCCGCTGCCCTCAGTCCTCCTGACACCCAACAGGTCCCTGAAAACAGCCATCAGCCGCTGGCTGGAGAGCCAGCCGAAAGGCAGTGACGCCGCTCCACCCTAGCGCCGCTTATTACAACTGAGTGGAAGCAACCAAGTGGTGTAACTGCACTGGAAACAACTGGAAAGGGAGACAGCTACTCTTACGGTCTATCCTGTGACTGTAACTTAAATGTGAACAGTTAAAAAAAACAAGACAAAGCAAATAAAAAATTGGTGCCTCCAAAAAAATACCGAACAACATTTTTCTGAAGTTACTGGTATCTTAAGTGCACACTCTTTGACAAATGAAGTCTTGAAATTCACAGTTTTTAAATTAAAATCTTAGAATTTTTTGCTTCATTAATTATCTTCAAGTCTAAACTTTGCAAAGAATCTTTCAGAAGTTAAGAAATATTAAAAAGTTTGTAATCCTATTCCTATTTAAAATACAAAAAAAGTCCTTTTTCTATGTTACTAAGCATACATGCAGAGATGATTTTTCCTGTAACTGTCAGTGCACCTCATCCCACAACTATATTAATAATTTTTATTTTGTATGGAAAAAATACAGTAGTTGTGCAAAAACAGAACTACGGGACAAGAATAATAAGACTGGTACAAAATATCAAAGAAACAGTAAAAAATAAATAAGCTAAAGCATAATAATGCAAACTCAACAAGAAACTTATAAGAATGGATATAAGGCAGTTTACAATGTATACACAACACTGTACACAAATGAGAATAGAAAAGTGACTGAAAACATTGAGCTGATCGTCCCAACCTAATTTCACTCATAGGAATGTCACTACATCTGGTTCTTTTCAGAAGAGTATTGCAAATATAAAACCTTTCTTACTCTGAAAAATACTTCACAACTTTGTCCTAAAAAACAAATGCACAGAAACTTTTCCTCAAACTTTCATCCTCACTGCATCGATTCCCTGGATTTCCTATACAAATGCTTTATAAGCATTTCATTCCTGTACCTTTTTTTCCCCATGAAAAAAGCCAAAATATTTTCCTTTAAGGAAGCACCCAAAGGTGAGTAGATAAACTATGTAAAGTGCGGTTACTGTTAACATGCCATACTAGTGTGTTACTCAGTGCAATAACCAATATGGTCAAAGCCTTTCAATGCACATGCAAATGTCACTGCTTATTTTTTTTTTTCCTTATAGTTACTAGAAGGTTAGTCACATGTCAAAATATGACTGCTTGTAGTTTACTCATTCACATATTTAAGGTTCTTAAATGTACATCATGCAATCCAAATTAGATTCCATTAGAAAAGTGATAAAATACTATCTTTGACTAAAAAACATACATGTACAGAGCTGAATGTTATGCAGCAGACAGTTTTCTTAATACTGTTTTGAGAGTCAAGCACTTATGTATTTTAGAGGCACAATTATTATATAAGTGATGAGATGTAAGACAACCAAAAGCCAAGATTAAAACTCTGGATTAGAGGAGCCACATATTAAGGGTAAAGTTGCAGGACTTCTCCCACTCGAGGTCCCATTTTGTTGGCTGATGATCCCAGCTGAGTCGACACGATTTGCTCCTCCAGTTCCTATGACTCTCCTGGGGTGGTGTGAACAGCTTGAAGTGCTGGTATGCCACTAAATCCTGGCCAGCACTGACTTCATCCTCAAACGCAGGAAGGGCCGGTCAGTATTTTAGGCAGAAGTAACGCTCTGATGGTGTGAGCTAAGTTTTACAGATGTGTATCATTCCCAAGGGTATTTACACATTGGATTCGATGAACGAGCGCTTTGGTTTGGTAGCTGTGGCCGGATGGCCTTCCCTACCGCCGTGAGCCTGTGGCTTGGGCGGCGGCTCCGCATGCCCGGCCGGAGCTGGTCCGGCTGCTCTGTTCTCCATCGGGCACCCACCCTGCTCACGACCTTGCACACCGTTCTGGATGCTGTCACCTGCAGTGACGCCGCTGAAGAAGGTTTTAGCTTGATAATGTTTGACTGGGTAATGCTCAAAATTTGAGGGCTGAAGGCTGCTGGAACCAGCATTCGTTAATCCTTCTGTTGCCTGAGAATGCCAAGTGCGATTGGATTGGTTGTTCTGCTGCTGAAATCTTGCAGTTTTATCCATGATTCCCATAAAGGGTGTGTTGCGAGGTCTGTGTTCGGCAGCAGGACCCTGAACTTGATTTACTTTATTCTCCTTGGTTTGAGTATCTGGCCCCAGTCCCTTCATGCTCTCTGTAAAACTGCCTACCGAACTTAAGCTGCTGGTTGAACTGGCAAGAATCAAACTGCTGCATGGAGAACTGAGAGACACACCACTAGCTACAGGAGTTTGCTGTCTTGCTTCACTGAAACTGCCTGGAGCAGGAGCTGTTGACCTGTCAGCAGCTTTAGACTTACTTGTGGAAGGATGAGAAGAGAGACTCTCACCGTGCTGCAGGTGGGGACACTGGCTGGACTTGCACAGCTCATCGCACAGACCAGCACTGCCACCACTGGCAACACTCCCAGGTGGCAACGTGCTTGAATCATCCAGATGCTCAATTTTGTTGCCGTAGAGGTTTCCAGGGTGCTGTACTGGCAAAGGAGTCTGGGGAAGATGCTGACAAGATGACCTTGGATTACACTGACTGGTTCCAGGTTTTGACACAGGCTGAATAGAACTCAAGTGCTGATTAGTTTTCACGATCTGTGCCTGCTTGGTTGGCTGCAGGATAAGGCCTGGCTCCCTCAGGTACTTACTGCCTGCTCTGCCTGGTGGGGACGCAGGCCTAGCTTTCTGCTGAGCACTTTCCTGAAGGGTCCTGGTGAAGGACGAGGCAGCCGAAGGACGTTCCAGCCTTTGTGGAGAGGAAGCAGACATGCCACAGTGTGGTGATTCTTCTGTTCTCTCCTGAGGACTAAAGTTATGATTCACCCCTTGCGTAACACCCTCCTCCTCATTTTCGGAGCTGTTACTGGGCTGTCCCAGCTGTGGGGACTGGCGCCTCTGCTGCTGTGCTCTCTGGAGCTGCTTGCACTCATCCTCCACTCGAGCCAGCAGGCGCTTTATCTCTTGGTTGGTGGGACACAGCTTCGTGGCCTCACGTAAGTCAGCAAGGGCGGCGTGGAGCTTTCTGTTAAAACAAAGAAGTTATCAATACAAACTGGGGGGTGAGATGAGTCAGTACTACCTGCTGCAAAGCCATTTCTGCTACACTCAAGACAGTGTTCTCCATCTGGCATATCTTGAAAATGTTGCATCAAGAAAAAGTCAGATCCCCCCCCCCCCCCCCCCCCCCAACCCAGGAAGCTCTTTTCTACAGTGGAAGCACAGAACTGGTCCTGGAACTTGCCCGTGTGTCCTAGGAGACCCTCCCAGAAGCCAGCCTGGGAGGGCTCTAGAACTGCTGCTGTAAACCTCATCTCAGGAGCCCTCTACTATTATCTTCCCAATAGGTACTTTGCTGAAATCCATACTATGATGACTTCTACTGCTCAAAAAACAGGTGGTGAATCTACTGGCAGCTCTCACTAGCCAGTAGTGGCCCTTATTCACTCTTATATGTAACATATTCCTATATACACTAACATATCAATTTGTCACTTTTTAGATCCCCAACAATTACCTAACAGAGTGCTCAATATGGCTTTTGGTTTGTGCCTGGTTAGTTTTCACTCATATGGAGACCTAACATGCACAGGAAACTGCACCAGGAAAAACACCTTTTCTATATAACTTTCTGGTATAAATTCTGATTACCTAAAGGAAAGCATTATCATCAGTGTGATGAAGTAAAAAGCTTGTGTAGAAATGCACAAACAGTACCTGCTGTTCCTCTTGGCTCTTGCTCTAGCATAATAGGCTTCATAAGACCTTGGTTTCAGATCCAATGCTTTGGTAGCAAACTCTTCAGCCAGACCAAAGTCCTGACAATTTAACAAAATATATTCATTATACAGTGTCATTAAAAGAAAACTTCATGTTCTCCATTAGATGTGTTAAACAAAAGCTCATCCAGTCTAGAAAGTCACATTTATCAGTTAGAAAAAAACAAGTATTTTTCAGAAAGACTGAGAACAGACCTCACGTTGCTAACCTTTGCTGTGACAACTAAAGGGAGCTGAAACTGAAGTGCCTAAAAAAGAAATGCTAATGAGGGTAAGATCTAGTTATTTCCAAGCTAAAGCTGTTAAGGTGCTAAAAGAGAACACATGTTTAACAGGCCATGGGACAGCCTCAAATGACAAAGATCTGTTTAGAATGTGTTTCAAAAAAAAGACCAGCTGAAAATCTAAAAGCGCAGAGGAAACAGAAAAAAACATGCCATAAGTTTGAAGTGTCTGGAGCTTGCTTTGATAACGTATCTGGCATTTTTAGACAAGAATTGCACTAGGTCTAAAGTGTTTCATTTTCATTTGCCAAGAAAGAGGAATAATAATACAGTAAATTGTTGGTTAAACCAAGGACAGGAAGCAGCAATTAGGACTGAATGGGGCAACAGTGGCCAAGGGAAAGGTGAGAACAGCATCAAGTCTCCACAGTGCTTGGTGCTTCTGACACCAGGAGATCTCCAGCATGCTCGTGCAGGCTCCACAAGGCATCTCCGGGAGGAAGAGGGGCCATGGGCACCTCGCAGGACGGCAGCTGCTCCTGTGTGGAACTGCTGCGTGTGAGGAGGGTGACGCAGGCGGTGGCGCCCCAGCGGGGCTGGCGAGGAGCAGCAGCGACCCGAGCCCACGGCAGCGAGGAGCAGCAGCGACCCGCGTGCGCTGCCGTCCCCGCGGCTTTCAGCTCCTGGCCGATGTGCTGAAGGAGATGATGTGAGCTTAGAGGCAGCAGGAGGACAGCCCTGCGGAGAGGCAAGAACCAGTCCTGCACGCAGAGCATGGCAGCAGTGAAACAGTCCCTGTGAAGTCCTGCTCAAATGTCCCTTAATGTGTAAGAGCTACCAAGAGTAACTCACTTGGATGACTAAGGGATGAAAGAGTCATGAAAAGAGGGAATGGGGGATGGCTGCTGTCTGCCTATGCTGCAGAAACATTTGGCAAGGAGTAAGGTACGGTATATTCAGAAAGTAAGGGGTTTTTATTTTAAACAGTCACCCAGGTTCACTGATGCACTGGTGAAGATATAAAACTACCACCCCCCACTCCCAACTAATGCAAATATATGATGAAATGTATCAAAGACAGCTCTATTAGTGGGCTATGGTGTTCGTTAATCAAAGGTGGTGGAAAGCACCTTTACCTTTAAAAAGCACTTTTACTTTTTACTTCAAACCACAGAAAGCAACTACAGCCCGATTCTCAAAAAAAAAATTCAATTACATGGGAGCAATCATAATTACTCTCTCTTGGCAAGAGGTCTTTATCCCATGAACTGTTCCCATGCACTGACAAAACAGCTCAATTATGTCATACAGTCAAAGACCTCTAATAAAAAGGTGAAGTAACAACGTCTGTAAGAAAAATGCACACAGTGACCCACAGGGAAACTACCCGATACTTTATCCTTTTGCAAGCATTTCCCTGGATGCTAGCGGACACTTTGGAGCACGCCTCTCTTCTGCCCTTGGAGCTCAGCATGAAGATCAAGATTCACAGGAACACAGTGATAGCAACAAGTCACGCTCTCTACGAAGCAGTAGAAAACAACTCTAAGATTCCCAGGACCAAAGAAGCAACAAGTTAACAACAGTATCTTACATTTGTTTTCCGGCGACATCGTGACAAATTTAAGTATAATGAAACTCTCAGGTCATTGAAAGCTTTCAGTTCTTCTCCAAAGCCCTCTCGTGGGAACTTCCTCAATGCATACTGATAGCGCTGGGCTGCTTCCTTCATCTTGCCTTTCTAGAAATTTAGGAAATAAGTGACTTTTCAGAAACTCTTGCAACCTTTGCTCATGCAAAAAAATAAAGCACATTGATATCCAACATCTGCCAGCAGGTGCTCTTCAAGTAAAGACTACACAGACAGAGACTCTCTGCGTGTGGCTCTATGTGCATGTGTGTATTGAGCTGACACACCGACAAAATGAGAACTTCTGAATTAACTGGAGATTACTTTGCAGGCTCATTACTACTCTGGTGAAATATCACAGTTTTTACATTAATACAGATCACTGGGACCCAAACAATTATTCTTCATGTATAATTCAGTAATTCAAATAATTGAAGATGTAAATGCTTAAACCTCTAATATCTAAATGGGGTTAGCAGAGCATGTTCTTAATGTGATGGTGTAAAACTTGTGCTGCTACCAATAAGCTCCAGAGCTGGAAAGGTTTTTTTTTTTTTTTTTAAATGAATTTTTGGCTTCTTTTTTTCTCAGAGTTTCTGGTATCACTCCAAACAGATGTGCAAGTACACAATGCGACATGTAAAGAAGCTAAATCCAAGTATAGTGTTTTCCTAGTAGAAAATATATCTACTTACTTTGTACAGTAAGTTTCCTTCTTCCATCAGTTTCTGCAGCAGAATGATGAGAATATCAGGTTTTGAGGTTGCCATTGCCCATGCTGCATTTCCTGCAAGTTAAATTTTAATATTTACTAGTAGGTGAGAAGAGTTTGTTTCTGATACTGCCGTAGAAAGCATAATCCAGTTCAATGGATATTCTACATGTAAGGAACAATTTTAATCTATAGATCCATACTGCCTTGTTCCCCCTGTCCTCTCCCCACAGAGAGCAGCTAGGTATTAAATGGTCCAACTCTGTTTTCCCCTGATGTCTGTATAAGACATTATGAAAGTTCATGGGAAAGTATGGTCCTAAGGAAGGTGCTGTACTTATTCCTAATACTTAGAAATTAAATAATGCTAAATTATGATTTAAAGGTACTGCAGATTCAACAGTCACACACAACTGCAACATCTACTTGCCTACCAATAATACGCCAGTTGGACATGTTGCCAATGCTTTGCAAAAACGTTGGATCCTGTAACATGCTGGTGAAGTCAAATTTAAGTTAAATTCATCTAAAATAATTAATAATGGCAAAAATAAGGAGTAGCAGAGTAATCACTATTTTCTTGTGCAAGAATATCATGATAGAGTGCTAAAAATGTAAAGATTCCTGATCAATATATATTAAAGAAAGGAGTAGAGGAAGATTCCTTGCCCTTCCTCACTTCTGAAGTGAGTCTGCAATATTTGACTTTAAAAAAAGGGAAGAGTTTAATTTATCTTAATAAGCACTATACACCATATTACCTGGAAAAATCTACTGTGCAATTCAAGATTTATTTAATCTACTTTACAGAACTAACAGTTGTCCCAGCAGGACAGACATCCAGTTCTCTTCTTTGAGGAGAGGGTAGGTATCACTAACCTAATTTAGCTCCTTTTCTCAGCAACATAACCACTACTGCCGTATTTCGACATCCAATAGCTCTGTCCAGTGGCCGCATGCCGCTGTGGTCCACGTGCTCAATCACTGCTCCCTGCTCTACCAAATACTGCACCTGTGAACAGAAACGAGGAGAGTCGGTAAGTGCCCATGGCTGGAGAGCTAGGGCAGCAGCATGTTCAAGCTGCCACTTCATTTTGCTTGAATTCAGTTTATAATTAAAAGGCATTTTTCAGATTTAAGAGATTCTAGGTCTAGTTTTTTTACAGTGTCTGTCAACTTTTCACCTCAGACATCCTTCATTTCAAATTTAAATGTATTTCCCCTAAAAATTCTTATAGACTGATAACAGAGGTGGTGTGTGAGACAGGTATAGGACTGAAAAAGGACTTGAGCTGTGGTCCTATTTCTGAAATCACCCCTGAAACAAACGAAGAAAAATGAATCTGCTTCTCTGTTCTTTATTTCCATATACATAAACACTTCAAAAAAAGGACAGGCTTTTCCATACAAAATCTTCAAGATGAAAAGTACAATGAATTTTCTAAGCAGTGCCACCATCACACAATGCCTGCAAGATACCTATGAATGACAAGCAATGCAGCCCTAGGCAGCATTCTCATTTCATCCCTTTTCGTACTATTCTTCTTTTTCTGTCCTTCTCATGTGAGGTCTCTGTACCACTGAGGTATCCAAATAGGATGGACCTGTGAGGTTCCCTGAATGTGCTTGTGGGTTTACAGAGGCAGGAGAAAAAAAAGAAAACACAAACAAACGAAAGTGGTATTTTCCTTCATGACCTACAGTTTTATTTCCATTTTTTTGTTGCTGTTTGTTGTTTCATTCTTTTAATTCCAGTTCAAAACACAATGTTCCTGTGTTACAACGCAATCCTGCGTTACAGCACAACCCATGTTATTGCTTATTGAGCTGGTACAGGGTGTCACTAGACACCGTCGAGCACAGAGGCGCAGGGCTGCCCTTCTGCTGCAGCCACCTCAGTACCGAAACCTTACCTAGTAACTGCTCTTCTGAGCAAACACTTGCACTGCAGCCAAAATCTTAGCAGCATAAATGTAATGACCAAGTTTCCTTTGCAACTTGGCTGTCTTTTTTTATTATTATAAAGATTTGAGATATGCTTTTTTTTTTTTTCTGATTGGTTTTTACACTTGGCTTTACTTACAATATCAGCATCTCCATAAAAGGCTGCCAGGTCTAAGGGTGTTCGTCCATTTTTGTCCATCTGATCAATTGCAGCACCTTTTTCAACTAAATACTGAACCACTTCCCTGTGTCCTTTTAGACATGCCCAGCTCAAAGCTGTCAGTCCTTCTTTGTCCAGAGATGAAATAGCTGCACCTATGAAATGAAAGTGAACTTTGTCATGAAGTCATCCTGTTTAATATGTAAAATTACCTAATTCAGATGCAGTCTATGAAGCATCTATTCAGCTTTGAAACATTTATTTTCTACCTTCAGAAAACAGAAATTCCACAGTGCTCAAATGTCCTTCACAAGAGGCCACCATAAGCGGTGTCCTGCCTTGCTTGTCACTTGAGTTCACATCAGAGCCGTGCTCCAGCAGAAGTTTAGCTATCTGAAACAGGAAACAGCAATAAGAAACAAATGAGGCAGCTTTAGATTTTGTTCTACTTAGTTCTACTCCAGACTTTTGTAGGAGAGGACTAGGCGACTGTTACAAGCAATCATTCATAAGTCCCACTCAATTCCTGTGTTAACTATTAACAATTTAGGGCTTAGTTACTCCGCTCAAGATCACTTCTCATGCTGCGCTTAAAACAACAGAAATTGGCAGGCCTAAGAAGGGCCCCCAACCCTAAGATTCTCTCTCCTTTACCACAAAAACAGTACAATGAATTTGGAATTTTCTCTGTTCTTGATCTGGAAATATAGTACTATAGATTCTATAGTATTATAGTATTATAGATAAAACAACAGTATTATTTTTAATACTACTCTAGTAGTATTAAAGTACTTTATAAAGCGCTATTAAAAAGTACTATGGATTCTATAAAGTATTACAGTATTATAGATAAAATAATAGTATTTTTTAAAGATATATTACAGCCAAAGTTCTCATGCAGCATGTAGTACTCGCAAGTCCTTTGCATCCCTGAAAATAACTCAAGCGGCGAGCTTCAGAACACCTCCCTTTAAAGTTCACGCGAATAAGTACTAGAAAATTTACATTAATTTATTATGTCATTAGGGACAGGAAGAAAGTTTATGTTATTTCCAAGACTGTTTCCCACAGAAAATGTTTAATCTGTGAAGATGTGTCAGACCTGCCAGTGACCCTGCCGAACCGCACAGAAAAGCGGGGGCACCCCCCTCCTGTTCGCTTTTGTCACAACAGCTCCGTTTTCAAGCAGCAATTCACAGACTTCCAGTTTTCCTCGTCCTGCAGCAGCTGTCAGGGCTAAAGAAAGCATTTTCATCAACACATCTCAGCCGTTTTAACACACCCTTCGACACACACAACTTGGTATTAGTGTTACCGAATCCCCCATTTCTTCAACCCAGCTGCTCTGTGAGCTTTTTGTAACTATTTTCAGATCCACATGTGTAAGTCAGAATCAAGTTAAGGCAATGAGTCAAATACACTGCATCGTAAATTAAAAAGTAATTCTCAAAGGTAACAACTACAACATGCGCATAGGTTGTAGGCTAAAAGGAGTATTTACAGAAACGTGGGATAAACCCACCAACTTAGATACAGTTCTTTTTCTTTAATCATTTTTTCTTAACAAAAAAGTTTTGTCTCCTTTCACAAAGCCCTTCCCCGAGGCAAAGCTCAGAGTACTTCAGGATCCAACAAGGAGCTTTAGCTCAAGTTTTGGAGAGCACCACTTGGCCTCATCACCAAAGAGCAGATACTGAAATCACCACTGAAAGCCCGCTCCTCAGACAGCAACTTAACTAGTGCAGCTTCATTTCGCACTAGTTAAAATTGTTTTCCCCATTTTTCACAGCAGAAAGCACAGCAGGTCAGCAGTGAACAGCCCTGTTCCTCTGCTTGCCCTAGGCCTCATGGAAACACTGCATTTTTCAGCACACACAGACCTCAACTTTCTACCTGACCTTGAAAACAGTTTTTGAAATGCACAGTGTATGTTGTCTGGCTCTCCACCTAAAGTGTAGTCATGTTGCAACTTCTGGGCAGAAACACCACTGTAGAAGACACCTTTGCAGGACTGGCTGAAAGCATCATCGAGCAATCCAAAATAATACCACAGCACACGTGTCCACAAAGCATAAAAAATAAAACCACTGAGACTACATTTTTTCTAGTTACTTGTAAGATAAAAATCTATGCTGACGAAGTGTTGTTTTAGTAGGTGATTTTCAAATATTGGGCACTAATACTCCGTAACCCCACTTAGCACCATGACTCTGAAAGAAAAAATTTGCTCCAAGGTAATGCATTTGAACAACTTTTCATTTTTTCCTATAGTTTATCATTCTCCTTCCTTTTCCCTACAATACTTCTTGAAGTTTGAAAATAAGGTATTTTCCTGTATTTTTCCTACTGTGACTTTTCTCTTCTTACAAATGTCTAACATGACATTCTTGTGGATTTTGAAATTAAAACAACTTATTTTCATTAATTCTGTTAATTGGCCTCACCCGTGCTGCAAACACATTACTGAAAATTGCGTTCCTGAGTTAGCTTCTGCAAAAACCAGGAAAGGATTCACCTCTCTCTTTTCTATATAAAGCTAGTATGAACATCTAATACTTTCCACCACCACCACTAAGTGGCGGGGCTAAGTGGTGGTGGCCAACTACTGAATTTCCTATCACTCATTATTATTATTATTTATTTTTAAGAAATGTCAGTGGTGATAAAGTAGCTTTTTTAAAAAAAGCTGCAACAAGTGCTGAAAGTAAATTAAACCACAAACTCTGCAAGAAGCAGTACATTTATAATTTCTTTCAGTAGTATGCAACTCACGCACTCTGAGCAATATCTTGCTATGTTACAGTTTCAGTCCCTTTTTACATATGAACTGGAAATAACTGCTATAGCTGCCTAACAAATAGCATCAGTAAAGGCAAAACAAGCTATCCTTTCCCCCCCTAAAACTTCACATTTATCATTCTGTCAGTTCGAGGTTTTTAGTTCGTAGTGCAAATAACATCACAGCAACATCATGACTACCCAGTAGTTATTTATTTGAGGACAAGAAATTCTACTATTCTACTGAAAGGATTACCTCTGATCCATCCACCTAATGTACTCACAACACACAAACTTAAATGGACAGTTACACTGATGCAGTGATGCAGAACAGAAAATGTGAGAGCAGACCATTAAGCTGCAGGAAAAACAGCAATCTGACAGATTTCTGATCTGCAGCCAACAGCGTTAGAGAGAAATTCTAATTAGGAGGAAAAAAGGATGTTTTTATGTTTAAAACAAGACACACAGAGTCTAGAAAATCATCTGGAAAATTAGTTGGAAACAAGACTAATCGGTCATTGTAGAATCCAAAAAGCATAATAGAAAGTCATTAAGCTTGGTATTTAATCAAAGACTAAAACTCTTTTCAGAGTTCAAGAACAGCTGCTATATTTAACTCTGGAATTTTATGCTTCATGTATCCGCGCTTGTTTGAAGAGGGGGATTTGTTTTAACATATTCCAAATAGACATAGTATGGTCTATTCAACAGTGGTTTATAATCAAAATTCCCATTAAGATGCAGCGAAGTGAGGAGCCTCAACATTTGTAAGCAGTACATTAACACACAGAAGGAAAGGGGGTCCAGGAGAGCTGGCTGATATTCAA